TGCCTCAATTTAATGTGCACTATTTCTGGCAGTTTGCAAAGGCCCAAAATCTTGTCTTTTCCATTCCACTCCCACCATCATGGTTCCCTCTCTGCCACTCCTAGTGACCAACAATATCCTGAAAATTGTGCATTTTTAGAGTATGTCCTTCATATTGCCCCTATGTTGGGGTCATCTGGGGGCAAATAATAATAATAATTGTTGTTGTTGTTGTTATTGTTGCAGTGAGAGCATATGGTATGGGTTCACTGCCTCCCAGAGTTGCAAGTCTGCTCTTGGCCAGGCTGTCTGGACAGGATGAGGTCTGTAGTTCAGCACAATTGGACAATTCTGGGTTAGAGATGACTGATTCCTACATCTGGAATGACTCTGGACACCCAAACTGTACATTGGCTTTTGGACATAGAAGTCTGTGACCCTTGGTTCCCAGTTTCTGGCTCTCATTCTGAGACAGCATTATTTATTTATTTATTTATTTGCTGGATTTATATCCCACCTTTCTCCCACAATGGGATTTATCTATGTATAAGTATACTTCTATTAAGAAAATAGGTATGTTTCTGGGCATTACTTCTTTAACTGAAAAAAATATGCCAAAGGTAGAAATAAAATGGAAAAAATAGGTTCTCGTACTACCTACCCCCTCCCAAAAAAACTGTTCAGTATGTTTTAGCAAACCTTTTATGCAAAACTGACAATATGCATGTGTGAAATGAAACAACTAAGCCAGGTATGCCTTAAGTAAACAAAAAAGTTGGAACATTCTCAAGACAACTTGAGGGCTTCCTCCAAAATGCATCCAGGGATGATTTTTCATTCACCCACGTATGCCTTTCTTACGATTTCCATTATCATTGCCAATTTTATAGATATATGCTTTTTACATGGTGCAGATAGCTGGTGAGGTAGGCTAATCCCTTTATCTTTCTTTTCCTGTTCATGCATTCCCGGTAAGGTATTCTTGAGGCTGCTGCTGTTCACTTTGCCTGTTTTAGGCAGCCTCACACAAATACAGTAGCATTGGAAGAATCCCAGTCTTTCCCAGCTCAAGCTTTATTGCATTTACTGCAGACATGCTGCTGCAACCTGGCACTGAAAGTCTGTTTTTTGCTAGTCCTCCTTCACCATCCTCCCAATAGTAATGCTACTAAAAAAAAATTCCAGCTAGACTGAGGATGAAGACAAAGGGTAATGGGTGGGTTTAAAGAGACTTTGTAAAAAGGAGCTTCTTTGCCAGATGTTTTGTTGACTGATGCATGCCTGTAGCAGATTATGCAAATGTACAGGACTAATGATAGTTGCAAATACAGCAAACCTTTGCTATGGAAGCTCAGGTGGCACTCTGATGGAGTCTGTGTTCCCATCTCTGTCTATGCATCCAGCAGCTATTGCTCCTGATAAGGCTGTCTATTATAATGTCATAGATCAGGGGGTAAGAAGTGTAGTGAAATGAAATTACAACCCTAATACTCTGGAAAGTCCCTCCTTGCAGAATTGGGCAGAGATGTAGGGGGATCCCCTGCTTTCCTGGATTCCCAGAAAGTGAAAGGGGAATGTTCTTGGGAAAGTAATAGAGGATTAAAGGCATAGAATGAAAGCCAAATGAGTGGCATGGCCTTAAAATAATACAAAAGGCAAGGGAAGGAATATCTGTTGATCTGGTTTTATCACTCAATCAATGCACCACAGTGCTGTGTGACTGCCAAGAGAAGAAACTGAAGGGCTAAAGACACAGGTATCTGCCAGAGGAGGTGCTGGGTGGGACAAAGCTAAAGACATCCCCTCATTCAGGAGGAGCCCAGGTCTACATCAGCCTTCTCTGACCTGGTATCCTCCAGAAGTATTGGACTACA